ATGTGGGTGTCAGGCGTTTTCGTATCAAAGTGATGCGACATTCGCGATTAGATGGCCAAGGTACCGCTGCGTGCGATCTTTCCGTCAGACTAATTGTAAGGGTTCGAGAAAGGGTCAGAGGGCAGAGACAGGCGTGAGGGACAAATAGTGACGGTAAAGTTGGTTCCAAAGATGCTTTCTATCGTACCATAGCCTAAGACAAAGAGCATGATCTCACTACTAAATCCATTTTGGCCATTTTGGCTCGCATGGTCTGGAAGGAGGAAGAAGACGAGATCACATTATGGCTTGGAGCGCAGCATTACCGGTTCAGAGTACAGCATCGTGGTGTGTGTGAGATGGTGGTGTCAGTACCCCACCCTTCCCCAATACTTACCTCCCACTTTCCTACAAGATCTCCAGATTCCTACCTTTTTCTCACCCAAAAATTTACCATCGAGCGCTGGGGGGCCTCCTGGCGGCAAATTTCTCACCAAATACACCCCCCCCTTCCCATCGGCGACGTACGACCCCCGACCTTTAGTCCTACCTTGAGACAAAGTAATTCTCTGAACTCCTTGCTGTTGATCTGTTCCATAACATCTATAAGGGTATAACGCACGGGGGGTGGACTGTTCTGAAGTGAGCCCGTGCTTGGGTGCCCTCCAAACCACATCTTGATATCTATCGTCATTTGCTCTCTAGCTTTTCCTTACCAGTTTCTTCAATGATCCTAGTGAACCGTGCAGTATTCAAAGATCTGAGAAAATCATTCCCTCAAAGGCGGTGAGCGCAATGGCTGGGCGAATATTGTCAACGAAAGTGATGGAAAGGCTGAGTGTGTTGAGGCCAGAAGCCCTTTCACCATTGACGTGAACAGTAACCGCCCACCTCCCAGCAATCGTCCCCACTCTTTTAAACTAGCTCTGCTTTCAGAGTAATGACTACGGACAACTTGTCCGCAGTACTGTATGGTGTGGACGACATTCGCCTTGAGCAAAGGGACATTCCTACACCTGCGGACAATCAGCTGTTGATCAGGTAGGAAACAACATCATAACAAGAAGCGAGGATATTAGTTTCTAAGTTGCTTCAGAAATATCTAAGATTCTGGCTGTTATCCAGAAACCAACTCAAACTTAATCGTAAGTGCGGGGTTAGACCTACTTTCTCACGATTGCCACACTTCTTGGGAAAGAGGGGTGCCTTGCGAAGACACAATAGCAGGTCTGACCACGCCCATACGTTCAGAGAGGACAGAGCCGTGGAGCGATTCAACATGCTGTCCATCTATGGCTGCCTCATCATATTTCTAGTGCAGGAAAAAAGAACTTAGAACAGCCTGAAAAATGTATTTTCAAATATTTCGTGGATTTCTTTCAATCCGTTCATGAAAATTTTGTTTTCGTGTAGCACAATATGCCAGTAAATTTAACGCAGTGGTTTGGAAATATTAGATGTTCTACAGGTCCACTAACGGTTTTCATGACTCAGTCCAAACATTTTTTACTCTTCAATATTTGCTTGACTGGGCGCTGTTTGGCTTAGAAGGGGAAACTTGCGCTTCCGCTATTTTGTTCATGTCAGCTAACAAGGATACACTTTGGTTAGATCTGCGAACTTCTGCGAAGTTAGAATTTGCTTGTGATCCACTCTGGTCACAGGTGTTTACAGGTTCTTACAGAGTGTCCTTTAAATCCAGCTGACTTTTTGGTACCCATTTTACATTTGGTACCCCCACCAAGCCGAATTGCGCCGCCTAACTGTAACCATTACTATGTACTCTCTATTTATGCTAACTTACTTTTCTATTTACATACTTTTCATAATAGCCACCAATTAGAGTACACACAGTGGGTATATGCGGCTCCGACGTCCACTACTGGACCCATGGTGCAATTGGAAATTTCGTCGTCAAGGAACCAATGGTGAGACTCCGTACTCCAGCTCTAGAGTTCCATTTACTTACCTTGTTTACTTAGGTACTTGGACATGAGACAAGTGGTACTGTAGCAGGTGTGGGCCGCAGCGTGGTTGGTTTCGCTGTTGGTGATCGTGTTGCGATAGAGCCAGGCGTGCCGTGCCGATATTGCATGTATTGCAAGGTTAGCGTTTTCAATGGGAAAATCTCAATCGGTTCTATGTGAAATGTCAGATTCAGCGAAACCTCATGTATGGATGTCCTGACCGAGCTACTGTAAATCGTAGGACCTGATAAAGCCGCGTCCGGCACTGTTCGGCCAGGGAGGGGGGCATATTGCACGTTCGCTGCTTCTCATTGCCATGTTCATCATTACAATAGTTG